GAACCTTAGGTAGACCATAAGCCTTGGGGGCCCTTGCATCTCTCTGGAGTAGTGAATTCATTTTCCACTTCTCCGTTTCACCAGTTTTTCTTCGTATCTAAAATATCATTCTGTTAAGTGAGTCTTCGAAACTCACTTTCTCTTCATGTCCGCTTCTAACAGTTGTGTCTTTTCATCCAATCACAATGGGCCTGCCATTCGACATTGTACCCTGTATTTGCATTGGTTCCGGCAAAGGCCAATCAGAATGGGCCAAGCGAATTGACCAATCCGGCCCTCGCCTCTTCCTTTAGTCATTCAACCCTTTGGAAGGGGTCTCGGACGCCAGTACAGTCGCCCGGTCCACTCGCCGGTTGCAGCCCGTTGATGCTTGTCCTCCGACCGGCGTCTAACTGCAGCCTGTCCGGCCAGTTGGCCGACGCTTTGTCAGTGGCTATCGACGTCGACGTCGACGTTGGTGTTGGTGTTGGTGTTGGCGATACGGCGCTGGTGGAGGCCAAGGCGAGTCTGTCACGCACGGAAGTATGCCTCGAGACGTACGCCTCGCTGCGCCGACTGGCCGAGTTCAGCAGCGCCTTCAGCCGCGCCTACGGTCCGCTCGGACTGGCCATTTGCAGCATTTCCGCCTTCACCAACATCATCAACCTGGTCGTGTTGAGTCGCAGTTGGCTACGACGGCCCACCACCACCATCCTCGTCTGTATCGCGGCCGCCGACCTCGTCGTCTGTCTCAGTCAACTGCCGGTGCTTGCAGAGATCTGCCGACGAGAACTGGCCCCGGCTCCGCTGCCGCTCTGGCCGGCCTCGTCAGAGGACGGCAGCCGTCGTCATCGACAACCGGAACCGGAACCGGAACCGAAACCGAAACCGGAATCGGAATCGGAATCGGAATCGGAGTCGAGACGGGAGGCAAAGTCAAAAGCAAAGTCAGAGTCGGAGTCGCGCAACCTGTCGCCGTCGTCTCAGGCCTCCGACGGCGACGGCGACGGCGACGCTGTTGCCGTCGCTGTCGCCGTCGCCGCGCCCACGGGCCAGTTGGTGAGGACCTGGTTGGCTGTATTTGCTTTCATCCTCTTCAACCACATCTCCCTCACCAGCCACACCATCTCCATTTGGCTTGGCGCAGTACTCGCCCTCTTCCGCTGGTGGCTAGTCTCCTCCGTCGTCAGGGCGACGCGGCAGAAGCGAGCCATTTTGGAGGTGCGTCGAGCCGGCGATCGACCGGTTGGACAGACGACACCGTCGACGTCGAGGATGACCGACGCGAACGGAGCCGGAGAGTCGACCTGGCCGAACGTCGACGATGTACCGCGTTGGTGGGGCTGGTGGCGACGTTGGCGACGTTGGCGACGGCCAGAAGGACAGGCGTCGTTTGGTCATTCATTCGGCCAGTGGAACTGCCCAAGCACGCAGGTCGAGGAGCGCTACACTCGCTTGGCAATCGCCGCGGTTGTCATCTTCATCGTCCTCTTCCTCTCGCCATACTACCCGACATTGCGCGTGTATCCAACCTACTCGGCGGCCGAATGCGACACGTCGTCAACGGCATCCGCCGCGCCTGCCGACTGTCGGATTGTGGGCTACGTGGCGCGTAAGACGCGACAGAATCACGCGCTTAGTCAGTACAACTTTTGGGCGATC